CTACAACCACTGGAAATGTTCGCGAGAGGACGTGACATCAGCAACAAACTGACACCCGGCAGCCATTTTTATAGTGTTCCCGCTTATATTATGCTTCAAACGCTCTGGGATGTTACCCTGTGTGAGGGGCACACTATATAAATGCAAGTTGTTGTTATTTATAGACCAAAACCAGTGCATTACGATGGGTTCAGCCAGTAATTTGTTTTATAAAATAAAATAGTTTGGGATGATCCTTGGGACACTCAAATCTTTTAACTTCATCTTTCTTAATGAATAATCTTTTATAATACCTTTTTTTGGTAATGTCCCCTTTTTACAATTGTTTGTCATCCAATGTTACCATTGTTACCATCCAATGTCATCCAATGACATGGTAATGTCGCACAAGTCTTTCCATTTTTGATTTCACTTTCAATTTACATCAATAAGCATGAGCAATTATTTTGTCAGGCACAGCCAGCCAACACAAAGTTAAAATATGCAGCCGCTTGTCCTTGCTGATAGCTCTGTGTGAGATATGAAAATAGCTGGCGTTACAAACCTGGACATATCACTCACAGCTGAATCACCACTCCTCAAGTCGTCAAATTTGAAAGCATGTTTGTTACCTTGGTGGCTCAGATTACAACGGTATTGCCCTGTGCAGAAATAAGTGGAACTTATTCCACTTTTGATTCTTGTCTGTATTGAGTGAGCTGATCTCAGCTAAGGTGGTGGCAGGATCTTACAGTTGGTTCAGTGCAATTTGGAAAATATCAGTCAGGGTCATGAGGAAAGAGCAAGAGAATTCTATGCACCCATTTAGACACAATACGCTAAATGGCCTCTTGAACTTCCTTGCTGTAAGTGTTCCATCATTCTACAGTATAATTTCTTGTTGAAAGCTCGTCAATGCCAGTTTTTGTCTTGCTCCATAGAAATCCATCTGGTGTCTCAGCTGAGAGGGGATGGGGTTCACTCAGCTTAAGTGAACAAATTCAAGCGAACAGCTACTGAAAGGTCACTGCATGTTACTTGGGACTAAAATACTTGAAATTCCACACTTTCTGTGCTTACACTTCACTGTGTATTGCAGGAACGTTTACTTTTAACAGAATACAAGCTGATTACCACTGGCAACTCTTCGGGTTAATAACTGGTAAGACCTATGTCAATAAAATGCATTCAAAAAATTATTGTCATGTTAATATTTCTGCTCCTGTGTGCTTTATCCACATAACTGCAGTCAAGTGACTTGGGTATCTGAAGGCAAATTGACTGCTATTGAATTTTATTTGGAGACATCAAATGTATTACCCCAGATTGAAATTACAAGTACTCCCCAGGCAATTCAATATATTTGGTAGGACACTGTACTGAAATGGTAAAACACCTGTAGGCTACTATATCTGAATTTTGTTTATTATATGGAGAGTACTAGAGCCAGAGAAAATGTTCATTTTAATTTAAATCCACACATTCATCACATCTAGGCGCGACTACGCCAACTCACTGCTTGTCAGCCTTCCCAATACTTCCCTCCATAAGCTTCAGATCATCCAGAACTCTGCAGCTCATGTCCTCTCCTGCATCAGGCTCCGAAACTCCATCACCCCTACCCTTGTCTGGCTCCCACCTCCCAGAGGATAGAGTTCAAAATCCTTGTCCTCATCTTCAAGGCCCTCCATAGGCTTGCTCCTTCCTATCTCTGAGACCTGCTGACGCCAATATCTATCTACTCTCTCCGTTCAGCAGGCTCCGGTCCATCATCGGCGGTCGGGACTACAACCTTTCTACCCCCACCCTTTGGAACTACAACCCACATTCCCTTCGCCTCACCTCCTTCAAGGCGTGTCTCAAAACCCTCCTCTCTGACTGCGCCTTCGTCCACTTTCCTACCCTCCCTGCCCTCCATCCGCCCCAATCCTGACCTCCAGCTCGTATCCAAATCCCTGACGCCTTGGGATGTCCTTCTGACGTGAATAATACAAATGTTAGATATGTATTGTAATTGAGATCAAAGATGCAATCTTTACAATATGATACTGAGAAGCAAATGACTTTCCAAAGAAAGCTGGTATGTTTCCAAATGTGATATATTTATGACTTGAATACTTGCCAACCGATATATGGTTTGTTAGGGTATCAGCCTGGCTCAGTTGGTTGCAACATCTTGCGCTTATATAGCACCCTCCTCGCAGGATAGCATCTCAGAGCGCTTAACAGTGGCGGAGCCTGACTCCGAGCCCCGGGGGGGGGGCGCGGGGGGCAGAGACCATAGAGGCATTTAAAGGTGAGGGCGATGGTCTTGAACTCGATCCAATGGGGCAAGTGGCTTTAGACGAAGCGGGGCGAGGAGGGGGGTATGCAGAGCAGGGTGAGGAGGGGTTATGAGAAGCAGGGCGAGGAAGGAGGTATGCAGAGCGTGGCAAGGAGTGGGGGGTATGTGGAGCAGGGTGAGGAGTATGAGGAGCGCGTGGAGGGGGGACATGAGGAGCAGGACAAGAGCGTGCATGAGGAGTGGGGTGAGGATGGGTTAAACAGAGCAGGGAAAGTGCGAGAGGGGGTATGAAGAGTGGGGCGAGAGGGATATGCGGAGCAGTAAAAGGAGTGGGGTATGCGGGGCAAGTGATACGCAGAGCGGGGCGAGGAGCAAGATATGCGAGGGTGAGGAGGGGGCACGTGGAGCGGGGCGAGGAGGGGTGTATATGGAACGGGGCAAGGAGGGGGGTATGTGGAGTGGGGAGAGGAGGGGGGAATATGGGGCGAGGATGGGGGGATACAGAGCAGGGCGAGGGTGAGGATGGGTGTATGTGGAGTGGGGAGAGGAAGGGGGGATACAGAGAAGGCTGAGGAAGGGGTTATGTGGAGTGGGGCGAGGAAGGGGTATATGGTGTGGGGCGAGGAGGGGGGATACGGAGCGGGGAGAGGAGGGGGTAATGTGGAGTGGGGAAAGGAGGGGGGTATGTGGAGTGGGGTGAGGAGTGGGGTATGTGGAGTGGGGTGAGGAGTGGGGTATGTGGAGTGGGGCGAGGAGGGGGTATATGGTGTGGGGAGAGGAGGGGGGTATGTGGAGTGGGGTGTGGAGGGGGGTATGTGGAGTGGGGTATGTGGAGTGGGGTGAGGAGGGGGTATATGGTGTGGGGAGAGGAGGGGGGTATGTGGAGTGGGGTGTGGAGGGGGTATGTGGAGTGGGGTATGTGGAGTGGGGTGAGGAGGGGGTATGTGGAGTGGGGTGAGGTGGGGGGATGTGGAGTGGGGTGAGGAGGGGGTATGTGGAGTGGGGTGAGGAGGGGGGTATGTGGAGTGGGGTGAGGAGGGGGGTATGTGGAGTGGGGTGAGGAGGGGGGTATGTGGAGTGGGGAGAGGAGGGGGGTATATGGAGTGGGGTATGTGGAGTGGGGTGAGGAGGGGGGGATGTGGAGTGGGGTGAGGAGGGGGGATGTGGAGTGGGGTATGTGGAGTGGGGTGAGGGGGGGTATGTGGAGTGGGGTGAGGGGGGGTATGTGGAGTGGGGAGAGGAGGGGGGTATGTGGAGTGGGGTGAGGAGGGGGTATGTGGAGTGGGGTGAGGAGGGGGGATGTGGAGTGGGGTGAGGAGGAGGGGATGTGGAGTGGGGTGAGGAGGGGGTATGTGGAGTGGGGTGAGGAGGGGGGATGTGGAGTGGGGTGAGGAGGGGGTATGTGGAGTGGGGTGAGGAGGGGGGGATGTGGAGTGGGATGTGGAGTGGGGTGAGGAGGGGGGATGTGGAGTGGGGTGAGGAGGGGGATGTGGAGTGGGATGTGGAGTGGGGTGAGGAGGGGGGATGTGGAGTGGGGTGAGGAGGGGGTGAGGAGGGGGGTATGTGGAGTGGGGTGAGGAGGGGGTGAGGAGGGGGGTATGTGGAGTGGGGTGAGGAGGGGGGATGTGGAGGGGGTATGTGGAGTGGGGTGAGGAGGGCGTATGTGGAGGGGTATGTGGAGTGGGGTGAGGAGGGGGGATGTGGAGTGGGGTGAGGAGGGGGTATGTGGAGGGGGTATGTGGAGTGGGGTGAGGAGGGGGGATGTGGAGTGGGGTGAGGAGGGGGGGTGTGGAGTGGGGTGAGGAGGGGGGATGTGGAGTGGGGTGAGGAGTGGGGTGAGGAGGGGGGGATGTGGAGTGGGGTGAGGAGGGGGGATGTGGAGTGAGGTGAGGAGGGGGTATGTGGAGTGGGGTGAGGAGGGGGGATGTGGAGTGGGGTGAGGAGGGGATTGATGGGCTCACGGCGGAGTCTGGCTGCGGGAAAGGACCCGCAGTGTCTCTCTGTCTGTCTCTCTCTCGGCCCACCATTGCCCCACTGCCGTGCCCCGGTGGCAGGCGATGCCAGTCAGGACCAACGCTCACTTCCGGGGGCGGGACGTCGGCAGGGGACAGCCGGGAGAGTGAGAGAGAGAGACCGGAAACCGCCGCGACTTACTGACTGACACTCGAGTTGACCAACCAGCGGGCCGGAGAGGACCCGTCAGTCAGTCAGGGTTTCCGGCCTCCCACACACCTTTGGCTCCCGCCCATTGGCGAGGCCGCCGATTGGTTGGGGCGGGGCTTCCGCCCAGCGCCACCGCCGCGTTTTTGAACCGACTCAAACAGCGCACAACGACCAAACGCGACTTGTCGGAAGCGCGGGCCGACGGGCGGGCGGCGCGGCCAATGGCCGCTCGGGTTCGGGCCCGTCCGTCCGTCCGTCCGCGTCACGCGCGTCGCGCGCGCGCGGGGGGGGGCGGGACTTCCGGTAGCGAGCTGGGTTGCGCCGCAGGTTGACACGGATCGCCACGTCGCGCGTCCAGCTGATACCACGGTGCGTGGCGGTGCGGCTGCTGCGGCTCCGGGACACATTTCTTCGGGGGTGGGATTTTTTAAACCCCACAACCCCCAGTCCCCGCACACACTTTTTTTTTTAAAAAAAAACTTCGAATTTTTTTGTGGGGGGGGGGCGGCGGGGAGGGAGGGGGGCAACAAAAAATACTCCTTCCCCTCTCTTTTTTTTAAAAAAAAAGTGGGGTTGCTGTGGTGGTGGTGGGGGGTGGGTGTGAGCACCGGGAAAGGACGGGCGTCGAAGCTTCTGTTCTCCCCCCGAGTCGATGGTTGTGAAACGGTCCCGTTCCCGGAAGATTAATGTGTGAGTTGGAGCGCGTTGTTTTTGTCCTCGACGGCTCCTCCCGTCTGTGCGCCTCTCTCTCTCTCTCTCTCTCTGTCTCTCTCTGTCACCGAACCCCCCCCCCCCCCCTCTCCCTCTCTTCTCTCTCTCTCTCTGACCGAAAAGTTTCTCTCTCTTTCTATCCGAAACTTATTATTATTTGAGAAGTAAAAGTGTGCGGTGTGTGTGTGTGTGTGTGGTGGTGGTGGAGGGGGTGGAGGAGCGGCGGAAAGAGTTCATCTGTTTTTTTTTCAGTCTCTCTTCAGAAACGGGGTTCAAAATGGTGGTGGGGGTGTGAGAGGGGTTTTTTTTTGTGTGTGGTGGGGGGCGGTGGGGTGGGGAGTGAAAAAAAACTCGTTTGAGGTGGTCGTGCTTTTTTTTTAAAAAAGGTTTGGAGAGGAGAGGTTTTGTTTTCGGGGTGTGGTGGTGTATTGAGAGAGGGTGTCGCGTTTTTTGTGTGTCTGTGTGTGTGTGTGTGTGTGTCTGTGTGAGGAGTTCAGAGTGGAAGGAAGGAAGAAGGTATATGATGTGATCTGTGCCACTGGTTGTAATTTAACTTCACTCAAAACGTTTTGCAAAGAGAGGGAGAGAGAGAGAGAGAGAGAGGGGAGGAAAGAAATGCAAATGAGTCCCTACACTGTAGAAAGAAAGGAAGAAAGAAAGTTTGCTTTTTCTTCAACCCAATAGAAAACGCCACCTGTTCGTTGTTTTTTTTTTCTGTGTTCACTGAATTTGGTCACACACGTTTCCCCATTTCCAAACCAGTAATTTCACTCTTGTTAATTGAAAGGGGATGTTTCAATCGGGTTTTGCCCTCAGTGGTGAGATAAATGTTGAAGTCCTACAGAGATATTACATTTGGGTTTTTTTTTCTCTTAAAACAACAGGTGCCATTTTGCCTGTGTGTTTTTTTAAAAACAAAGTTATAAAAGTTAGTTGAAGCTTATAGTACTGCATGAGTGATGGAAGTCATTCACCTTACTTCCCCCCCCCCACCACCACCACCTACCTAGCAGTCGAAGACTCTGCATACATTCTTGCTCGTACCATAGATATTCACTGTGCAACGTGTAGCTTATGAACTCAGGCCACAGATCCTCCCAAGTTTGCTCTGATCACAGGTGCAGAATCCAGGCCTCCAGTTAGAAAAGTCCATAACTCATGTTTTCCTACAGATGAGCTAAACTGCTTCCTGTCACTTAATGCGATCGTTTTTTTAAAAAAAAATGAGGCAACAATCTTCAATGGATTTTTTGTACAGCACATTGGTACTTAAAGGCTATGTTATTGTGATAAGAGTTATTTAAATTTTAAGTCTTGAAAAGCTGCAAGATACTGAATGTGGCATTAGCTTTGCAACAGCCCTCACTGTAGGCCTATGTTCATAAGTTGTGCAGATCAAATTTAACCAAATTGTTGAGCAGTTGGTTCATTGATTCTTTATTAGACTGAGTGGAAATGGTACCTTGGAATTCTGTGAATGAAGCTGTTCCTATTTGTGCAGGACCTGGTCGTTTTTGCACAGTGTACCAGGGAAATAATTAAAATCTTTGTATTTGTTATAGTATGCACATTATCAGGTTGTCGAGACATCTCAAAGTGCTTCACAGGAAGTACTGCAAAGTGTACAACTTCTTATTATTGATTTCACCCACAAAATATAGTCAATTCACTTTACAGTATATTCTGTGAAGCGCTTAGAGACGTCTCAATGATGTGATAAGGCGCTATATGAAATGCAAGGATTATTATAATTATTTATTCAGAATTCTGCAGCTCGTGTCTTCTCCCACACCAGGGTCCGTGAACCCATCATCCCATCTTTGCCCGGCTCCACTGGATCCCCATCCCGCAGAGGATCAAATTCAAAATCCTTGTCTTCACTTTCAAAATCCTCCATGGCCTTGCACCTCCCTACCTCTGTGACCTGCTAACCTTTACTGGTGTGTCTGCTCCCTTCGCTCGGTAGGCTCTGGTCTCCTCCACGTCCCCCGCCCTGCCTTCTCCCACTCTTTGGAATGCTCCTTCTCCCACTCTTTGGAAACCCACTGTCCCTTGCCTCCTTCAAGGTACATCGCAAGAATTTGCTCTTTGACCATGTCTTCAATCACCCTCCCTTACCCTCCACCCCTCCTGATCCCAGGCCCCAGCTCGGCTGCACAACCTTGACTATTTAGTGCTTTGGGAAATCCTTCCTATGTGAAAGGGCCATACAAATGTAATTTGTTCTTGTGACTGTATTTGTAGGTGAATACGGCAGCCAAATTGAGCACAGCAAAGTCCCACAAATAGCCATGGAATGAATGACCAATTTTATCTGGGTTGGCCAGGACATCAAGATTAGCGCTCTTCTCTTTTTGAATAGTGCTATGGGAACTTTCACGTACTCCTGAGCAGGCAGATGGGGCCGTGGTTTAACATCTCATCCAAAGGGTAGCACCTCTGGCAATGCAATGATGTCCTCAACACTGCATTGGATTGTCAGCCTAGACCAGGGTGATCCAACCTTTTGGCTGCTGAGGGCCGGATGTGAGAAACGTCCGCGGGCCACATAAGCAATATTTTTGTGTTTTCCTTCCAGAAACATAATCCATAAGAATCGTATAGAAATCCTATGTTTTAAATTGTTTATCTGTTTACTTAATTTCAGTTTTTTTTAATTATAGTGCAAAGTTTAATTAAGCAATGTAAAAATTCATACAAATTTCAAAACAATAATACAGCTAGAGACGAAGTATCTGTCTGCGTCTCTTTCTGTGTGTGTGTGTCTGTCTGCTGTGTCTCTGTATCTTTGTATCTCTCTATGTCACGATCTGCCGGGCCTTCAGCCTCTCAGCCCCGAGGCTCTGGAACTCCATCCCCCAGTGCCTTCGCCTTGCTTCCTCCCTTTCCTCCTTCAAGGCCGGTCTCAAGACCTTTCTCTTTGACCGTGCCTTCAGCTCCCCTCTCGACTCTCTACCCCCTCCTCGCTCCTTCCCTTCCCTCACCCTGACCATTTCCCCCTTGCTCGGGTCCTGACCCAACTGTACAGCGCCTTGGGACGTCCTCCCGACGTGAAAGGCGCTCAATAAATGGAATCTTGTTGTTGTTGTTGATGTGAAGTCCTGTAGCTTAGTGGTGAGAGGACCTGGGTTTGATTCCCGCCAGGAAGAAACGTTGCAAAGTTTCCTTACTCCACACGCCTCTGTTCACCTAGCAGCAAGTAGGAAATTTGGTTGTTAATCGATTGACGGATCATTTTTCCGGGGGTAATAATTTCTCTCAAATAATAATAATAATTTGGTCACTCAATCCACAATTGTTTGTTGAGCATTACTGTGAGCAATTGGCTGCCACGTTTCACCTATAAAATATACAGTCAATTCACTTGACAATATATTCTGTGAAGCAGTTTGAGAGTCTCAAAAGACGTGATAAGGCTCTATATCAAATGCAAGGATTGTTATCTGTCTGTTTCTCTCTCTGTGTTGATCTGTTTGTGTGTATCTCATCTCTCTATATGCATATGTCTCTCTCTGTTGCTGGTTTGAAAGTGTTTGACAAGTTTTGCACTTGATGTCACAGCTTTTCCCACTGGGTCAGACCAAGCCTGGACTCCAGACACAGTACAACTGTGTTCATGGGACAAATGAAAGCATCCCCCGGGTAGGATGCGACCAATAAGCCACCAGTTGCACCATGCCAACCTAGACTGAGCTCAAAGTCCCGATGTGCAGGTTGAACCCATCTCACTCAAAGGCAAGAGTGCTAACAGCTGAGCCAGGCTGAGCTTATGCAGGAACGTTTAGTGTCTACTGTTTTAGAAATGTTCAGGTTAAAGATAGTGTCAATTGTTCCTTTACCCAACATTTGTAATTTCAGAACTGTATGTCGTCATGATGACCTGCCAACAAATCTTGCAACTGATGATATTTGTTGAAAGCAGGTGTCTTTATTGATCATTCGGTTTGAACCCCCACCCCAAACAGTAGCTGAGTGAGAGGCAAAACCTAAGCATTTTTACCACTCTGATTTTGCATTCAATATTCAGGTTCCCCTGAGGATTTGAACTCCACAAACTCCCTGGGCTCTCCTTCAGGCTCACCAAACCAGTGCGCAATCTAGGCGTCCAGTTCGACCCCGAAGCTGCCCTTCCTTCCCCACATCTGGTATCCGCTCGGCTATTCAAAAAATCCATCTCATTCAGAACTCTGCTTCTGCATATTTGCCCGCACCAAACTCCATATCCCTATCTCACCAGTTCTGGCCAGGTTCCACTGGCTCCCCATCACCGAACGGATCAACTTCAGGATTCTCACACTCATGTTCAAATCTATTCACTCCCTGGCACCTCTCTACCTCTCCGACCTCCTCACTCTCGAATCCACCACCCGGCGCCTCCGCTTGACTAGCACTGGCCTCCAGCTTGTCCCTTGCACCGTTTGCTCCACCATTGGAGGTCATGCTTTCAGCCACGATGTCCCGAAACTCTGGAACACTCCTTCAATCTCTCCGCCTTGCCCCGCCCCCTTTTCAAGCCCGCCTGAAAACCTTCCTTTTCGGCCATGCTTGCGGCCACTTCGCCCCACTCCCACCCCCCAGCTTGGAGTCAGGCTCTGCTACTGTTGAGCGCTCTGAAATGCTACCCTGCGTGGAGGGTGGTATATAAGTGCAGGTTGTTGTTGTTCTCTTTGTTGATGAAACTCCTATTTCTGACATTGCTAAGGATAAAAAAAAAGGATGGTATGGCTGTGATATGCATATGATTTCCTTTGGATATGTCTTCCCTTTGTGTGGCTTAGTGCAGTTATATAAAAGCGAATGGTGGACATCCATATATTGTGCATCTAGATTCACCAACCTTATCAGTACTTAATGGAAATATTGTGCCTTCTTGGTTCAGAATGGAAATGTACAGAGATAACCACAATCAGACTACTCTTCAAGTTTTAACAGCCTTCATTTTTTCAAAACCAGACAGACTCTACCACTGTGTGTTAATG